TGACTGTGGGCTTTAACCACAAACTTGGTCACTTTCATTATTCTCTTCTGATAGCAGAAGGCAGTGGCAGCATGGTGGTGTGTGTGTATCTGTGTGTGTCCATGAACATTCCACCAAGCAATAGTAGGAGGTGGTGCCTTCAAGGGCTTAAGCTTTCAAGGGCCTCAAGTGTCAGGTCCTTAGTTCCTGATAGCAACAAGTGTGGCAGTGCAGGGAGTCTGAGACTGAGACAGGTAAGAGGGATTCATCCGTCCCTGAGCCCTAAGGAGGGGGTAAGCAATTAATTGTTTTACAAGGAGGACCCTAAGAGAGACATACATGGTCCCCTGGAGAAGGGGAAAGGGTCAAGATCTCCTGAGCAAATTAGGAGCACGGGAATAGGGGGGAAGGAGCTAGGAGAATGAGAAGAGAAGAAGACGGGTGAGGAAGACATGAGAGAGCAGAATGGTTGAGTCGGGGGAAGAATTGAAGAAAACAAGAATGGAGATACCATAATAGAGGGAGACATTTTAGGGTTACAGAGAAATCAGGCACTAGCCAAATGTCTGGAGATCTGCAAAGATGACACCAGATAACAATCTAAGCAACAAAGGAGAGGCTACCTTAAATGCCCTCCCCTGATAATGAGATTGATGACTGACTTATATGCCACCTAATAGCCCTCATCTAGCAGCTGGTGGAAGTAGAAGCAGACACCCATAACTACTCACTGAACTGAACTGGAATTCAGTTGCAGAAAAGGATGAGTGATGAGCAAAGGGGTCCAGACCAGGCTGGTGAAACTCACAGAAACAGCTGACCTGAACAACGGGGAGCTCTTGGCCCCCAGACTGATAGCTGGGATACCAGCATGGGAGTGATCCAGACCCCAGGAACATGGGTTTCAGTGAGGAAACCTCAGAAATCTACAGCACCTCCTGTAGTAGTTCAGTACCTATCCCTAGCATAGGTGTAGACTTTGGGAGCCTATTCCACATAGAGGGATACTCCCTGAGCCAAGACACAGGGGGGTGGGCCTAGGCCCTATCCCAAAAGACTCTGATGACACCCTATGGAAGGCCTCACCCTCCAGGGGGAGCAGAGAGAATATGATAGGTAGGGTTTTAGTTGGGGGAGGGGGTTGTAGGGGAGGAGGGGAGGGAGAGGGAACTGGGATTGACATGTAAAACAATCTTGTTTCTAATTCAAAGAAAAAAAAGAATTGTTTTAAATAACTATTATTGTGATGGTGGTACATGCCTTTAACCACAGTATGCAGGAGATCTCTGAGTTTGAGGCCAGCCAAAATTACAGAGTAACATCCTGTCTCAAAAAATAAAACCCGGGGCTGGAGAGATGGCTCAGAGGTTGAGAGCACTGACTGCTCTTCCAGAGATCCTGAGTTCAATTCCCAGCAACCACATGGTGGCGCACAACCATCCCTTATGAGATCTGGTGCCCCCTTCTGGTGTGCAGATATATATGGAAGCAGAATGTTGGATACATAATAAATAAAATCTTAAAAAAAAAAATAAAAATAAAACCCAACTGGCTATGGTGGCCAATGCCTTTAAATTCCAGCACTTGGGAGACAGAGGCAGGCAGGACAGCCAAGGCGACACAGAGAAACCCTGTCTCAAAAAAAGAAAAAAAAAAAAAGAAAAACCATTATTATTATCAATGGTAAGTTGTTTGAATTTGTAAGCAAACCTAATGTTCATTTTTAATTCTTCTTTGACAATTTCATACATGTTTATATAATGTATTTTTACTGTATTCACCTCCCATGCATGTCTGGGAAGTAGGTGGGTACATCTGTGCCATGGTCTACATATGGAGGTCAGAAGACAAACTTAGGGGAGTCAGTTCTCTCCTTTCTGGGGTGGGGGTCCTAGGGATCAAACACAGGTCACCAACTTCATGGTAGGCACCTGTATGTACTGAGCCATCTTACTAGCCCCATTTTTTTTTTTTAAAGACAAGAGTCTAATGGGACTGGAAAGATGGTTCAGCAGTTAAGAGCACTGGCTGCTCTTCTAGAGGTCCTGAGTTCAATTTCCTGCAACCACATGGTGGCTCACAACTATCCATAGTGAGATCAGGTGCCCTCTTCTGATCTGCAGGTATACATGCAGGCAGAACACTGTATACATAATAAATAAATAAATCTTAAAAAAAAAAAGACAGGGTCTCATATAACTGAAGGATGTAAGTAGATAAGAAGCTAGAAAATAAGAGACTGCTCTGGACAGAGCAGCCAAGCCTTCAAGACCAAGGGTGTGACCCCAGGGTTTGGACATTTTAAGTTTAGACCTTTATAATGGAGCACATGTAGGGTTAAAGTTCCTAAAGCTGAGCCCTGCAACACTAGAGGGCACCACCTGCCTGCTGTCACCACTAGCTGAAGCCAAGGACGGCAGAGGCCAGCACTCTGGCTTCCTCTACCCACCACCCCATCATCCTGCCACCCCAGGATTTTTGACAACTGTAGGCTTAGTAGCTTCCAGAATCCTTCCAGCTACAAGGTCCCCAGTGTCCTGTCTTTGTATCTTCACAGTGGATCCCTATCTTTTCTCCTGTGCTTTCTACTCTGACCTCTCTCTGCAACTCTTCAGCAGCACTTCTGTTGCTATTGCTGCTGTATGCACTGCTCTTCCAGGACTCAAGTTTGGCTCCCAGTATCCATCTGAGGTGGCTTACAACCACCTGTAACTCCAGCTCCAAGGGATCCGATCCCCTCTACAGGATTCTGCTGGCAACTTCAAACACATGAAAGGAGAATTCAAAATAATTTTAAAGTAGTCGGGCAGTGGTGGTGTATGCCTTTAATCCCAGCACTCAGGAGGCAGAGGCAGGTGGATTGTTGTGAGTTCAAAAGTCAGCCTGGTCTACACAGTCAGGGCTACATAGTGAGATCCTACTCAATAATAAGATAAATATAAATATAAAACGATGGGGCTAGAGGGGTGGCTCCGTGGTTAGGAGCCCTGGCTACTCTTGAAGAGCATCCATGTTTGTCTCCCAACACCCACATAACATCTCACATCCATCTGTAACTCCAGCTCCAGTGGATCGGTATCCTCTTCAGGGCTGTGAGGGGACCACATGTACACAGTGCCCAAACATGCAAGCCCAATACTCATGTACATAGATAAATCTTTTTTAAAAATTAATCTTTGTGGCAGGAGATATGGCTCAGTGGTTAAGAACACTTGGCCAGGTGTTGGTGGCGCATGCCTTTAATCCTAGCACTCCAGAGGCATAGACAGGCGTATCTCTGTGAATTCGAGGCCAGTCTGGTCTACAGAGCGAGTTCCAAGACAGCCTCCAAAGCCACAGAGAAACCCTGTCTTGAGAGGGAAAAAAAAAAAAAAAGCAAAACACTTGCTCTTTTTTTTTAGCATGATAAAAGGAAGAAACAGACATTCTTCCTTAGTTCTCCAAGCATTTAGTAACCACACCTTAGACTAAATCTCCTGGTATCTCCCTTGCTGTTCCTGTAAATGACCTGGGTTCCCTTCCCAGCATGCATATGGTGGCATACAAACATCTGTAACTCCAATTCCAGGGGTTCTGACCTGACTCCCTCTTCTGACCCGAGAGCACCAGAAACACACAGGCACACATGCAGGCAAGGCGGTCTTACAATTAAATAAAAGGAACGTTTAATTACAGGAGTTACCACAGGCGCCCCACCAAAGTGAAGAAATCCATCCAAGAGTCCAAACAACAAAATTACAGTAAACATTTATTAAGCTGTAATGTTCACAATGTTTTAATCCAGTTCAAGTCGATCTACAAAGACCTCTAACATCAAAGCCAGTGATTAATAAATAAGAGGAATGTATCCATCACTTTGCAAAAAAATAAGCCTGGTGCTTTTTTCTATATAAGATATTCGTAGAATTAGCTTCCCAACTAAGGTATATGCACGTGTGTGTGTGTGTGTGTGTGTGTGTGTGTGTGTGTGTGTGTGTGTGTGTGTGCCCGCATGCATGCGTGCACACCCCCCCTATGTTCACAGAATGGCTTTCTATTGTGTTGAACTAAATACTATATAAAATTTCTAAGCTGAGGCACAACACAATAACTCAACCATGAAGATATCATTGGTAAAAAAGAATATGACTTGCAGCTAAGACCAGGGAAATAATTACTTCATGAGGGATTTAACTGCACATTAGACACTGTCACAAGAAATTAATTTAATTGTAGGATATTCAGAGATTTATCACAGATGCAGACAGGAAACTGACACAACGGTAAAAGCTTGAAATTTGCAGAGACATCAGGGCAGAGAGTCAATTATGCCATCAGCTGCCATAGCCATCCAGGTGACAATGCAAACGATGTGCTTCTTGTGCCACCAGGTCAGAAAAATGGGTTCTCCTTGTCTGTCCTAGCTATGGAGGGATCACCAAAGAACAAAACACAGAAGGATGCAGTGGGCTGAAGTTTACTGATGCCAATCAGGACACATCATCGGCAACTGTCCAGTGTTAAAGAGTATTGGGTTAGAACCCACAAAATATAGATATAGATATATATAATTCTACAATTCACAGGTGAGGAGCCCAAAGTCCAAGTACTTAAATGGTCTTAAAACAAAAACATTGTAGAATGGTCACAGGTTGCTTTGGAAAGCAGCTGGCATGCTGGGAGTAGAGCTCACGTGCCCAAGACCTGAAAGTAAAAGAGGCCAGGAAGGATGCCTTAGAAGGTCCTTGTAGCTACAAGTACACACCAGCACTGGCTTTCTGATGAAATGAGGCAAAAATCTTTAACTAGGTGGGGGCTAAACTTTGGGAGCCCAATCCACATAGAGGAATACTCCCTGAACCAAGACACATGGGAGGTGGGCCTAGGCCCTTATCCCAAAGGATATGATAGACTCTGATGACCCCCTATGGACGGCCTCCCTGGGGAGCAGAAAGGATATGTGATAGTTTAGTTGGGGGGAGGGTAGGGGAGAAGGGAAGGGAAAGGGAACTGGGATTGACATGTAAAACAATCTTGTTTCTAATTCAAAAAAAAAAAAAAAAGAATACATCCAAACAAGGCTAGGCATTGTGGCTTACACCTTCAATCCCAGCACTCGAGAGGCAGAGGCAGGTGGATCTCTGTTGAGTTCCAGGACAGCCAGGGATGATATGTAGAGAGACCTTGCCTCAAAAAAAAAAAAAAACAACAACAACAAAAACACATCCCAACAAGGTAAATGTGCATCTACCACCTCAAGTTCTACTGCTAGAACTTCAAGTGCATTCTTCCATTTATAATGAAGGCATCCTGGGGCTGGACTCTAGAGTGATCTCTTACTATGCATGTAGCCTCAGTCCCACCCCTATCATCCCTGCACTCAGGAGGTGGAGGCAGGAGGATCAGAAGTTTAAGGCCAGTCTCAGCTACTTGAGCAAGTTCAAGGCCAGCCTAGGATACATAAGACCCTATCTGAAAGAAATAATTAAATGAAAATGAAGGCATCTTGTATTTGTGGATATCAAACCATAAAACTGGCTTTAGAGTCTACATTTGGTCAGGCTGGAAAAAAAAATTGCAGATTTTTTTAAAAAACTTTTTTGCTTGTTATTGTTTTGAGACTAGGTCTCAATGTATAACTCTGACTGACCTAGAACTCACTACATATACCAGATTGGTCTCAAACTCAGAGATCTGCCTGCCTCTGGCTCTTGTGTACCACTAAACCTGGCTTCTGGTCTTGCTATGTAATCCTGGCTGGCCTGGAATATACTATTTAAACTAAGCTAGCCTCAAAATAGCAGCAATCCTTCTGCTTCTGCCTCCTGAATACTGGAATTGCATACTCAGCTACAATGGACTGTCTAGGACCTGAAATAGGACATCTCTGTGGCCACCAATGAGAGGAGCCAAGGCAAGAACAGGGATGCCCAGTTTTTTAGAGGCTGATAGCCAATATCTGCAAAGCAAACTTTTGTTATGATTTGGCCAGACATTTGGAAGGAAAGACGATGTTAGCCACCAATGTACCCTCCCCCAGGTACTTATATCCTGTGCTGCAAGTAGATTTCTTTACAGTATCTCAACAATACATAAGTGGAATGTCTCACACCAGAAGTCATGTGTGTTCAACGTCCATGGAGAGATTTCCCCAGTATGAGTTTCACAAGTGAATGAAATTCAAGCAGGTGTGAGCCCCATATGGTCATAACGAGAACAGAGGTCTCAGACACATCCTCAGAAAGATCCAAATCTGTGTTCCAGGCACTTGCAACCCCAAACAGAACTTCTCAGATATATGGCAGCAGAGCTGGCATCAGCTGGGTCCCTCTACCAAGGTCTGCAGTGAAAACTGACAGGTGCCTCCACCAAGCTGAAGTTGGGACTCAGTGGCTCCAGGGTACACTGAAGGACCACAGAGACAATGGCAATCCTAGCCACATCCTGCAAAAGCCAGCTTTCTTTCCAGAGTCCTAGCAGAGGGGTATTGCTTCCAGCCTCTGACACAATTTTTTGCCCACCCCCTTCCCCAAGGCTAAGCTAAAACAACAACTTCCTGGACCCCAGACAAAAAGCACCTAACACACATAATCATAAAAAGTTCAGGACAAACAATTCATATCATGGTTGCTTATGTCTAAGAATGTTCTAGAAGCAATGAAATGAAAGATGTTACTGGCCATAAACAGTTTCTTCTATGGTCTTGAGTCAATTAGAAGCAAATGAAACAAATGAGCAAATCCTTTCAGGGTCCAGCTGGCTATATGGACCTACCTGGCAAACAGGGAATGTGAGAGTCAGCTATATTCTGGAATATCTCCAAGGCCCATCCAGGAAGTTCTTGGCATCAAACTACAAAGACATTTTATAGCCCCATCTATGTATTTTCCCTTCTAGGAAAACCAGGTGTTAGACTACACTAAAGTCCAGGGAAAAGAAAAAGATCCCAGGACACCTATGGGTACCTTCATTCAGAAACACAATGGACGGGGTGGGGGTAGGCTCAGCACCCCCAGCACCATAAAAACAGAAAGACATAAAGGAACACAATGGAAGGAGCACACAGGGTCCCTAGGATCCAAAATGATCTAGTTCCACTCTGAAGCCCAAGTGTCCACAATAACAGCACTCATGAACCAAGTCAATGCCAACCCCAGAAGACATAAAAACAAGGTCACACTTGGGATTACGAAGGTAATGCACACAGCGCTTACCCAGCAGCCAGTTTACACTTCCGATTCCTTCCAAGTTCTGATAAACTTGACTTGATCTGCCTTTATTTAAAAACCTTACAAAAGATTTAAATGTTTGAAAAAAATTAACTTCATGGTCTATGCAGATAAATTTCTCTGACTACTCAGCTAATAGGGGTATATCCATTATTTAAAAAATATGTTTTTCCCACTAGCAACATTCTGATTAAGTTCTACATAAGTTCTTTCTCCTCCAGTGGGCCTTAAGGTCGACACACAGTGGGAAATACCAGGTGTGGCATTCTTGTTCAGTTTATTGGGAGGGGTAGGGTTTGTTGGGGCTGCCAGCTGTTTTCTTCTTCCCTTGTCTTCTGACGTTACTGCAGGTGGCACCCTTGGGTGGCCAGGCACCTGGCCTTCACTTGTCCTTGGAGCGGTCGAGGTTCTCCAGCACCCTGTTGAGACGGATGTTGAGCAATCTCACCTGGTTCTCCAGGTGTTCCAGCTTCTCCTCCACACTGGGGCTGCCAAGGCCACCAGGGCTGCCTCGCCAGTAGCCCATGGGCCCTGTCATGAAGTAGATGGCCACCACGAGGCAGAGCGGTAGCACGGTGTGCTCAGGCTCACCCTCATACTTATGCAGGATATACACGCATGACATGGAGAACAGGATGACTCGTACGAGCCAGAAGAAGCGGCCAAACACCAGGTGCAGGAAGCTGAAGGTGAAACCCAATGTCAGAGATAAGAACCAGTAGGCCAGGAGGACCACACCAACCAGCACCAGGGCCCGGGTGGGATTGTTGGACACAGAGGCTGGGCTGAAGTACTGTGACAGGTTGGACACTGTGAAACAGAACAGAGGACAGGGCCAGTTATTCCCACGTAGTCAGGACCGTCTTTGAAAGCAGGAGGGACAGCTGAGCTGAGGGGCTGGCTGGACCCATGGGCTCCTACTACAATCCAACATAATGAAAGCCAATTAAAGCAAGCACTTGAAGCCAGGCAGTGATGGCGCAAGCCTGTAATCCTAGCATTCGGGAGGCAGAGGCAGGCAGACCTCTGTGAGTTCGAGACCTGCATGGTCTACAACAGCTAGGGCTGTTACACAGAGAAACCCTGTCTGGGGGAGGGGGGGGGGGGAAAGCAAGAAAAGAAGAAGAAAAGTAAGCGCTTGAGCCTATAAACTAGCAGAGGAAGCACAGGTGGCCCCTCGGGACTGTTTGTTACATCATGAGTTTAAAACATCTTTTGTGAGGCTGGACAGATGAAAAGTGGTGAAAAGCACTCTTGCAGAGGGCCCAATTCAATTACCAGCAACCACAGGGTGGTTCATAACCGCCTGTAACTCCAGTCCCAGGGAACAAATCCTCAGGTACTGCATATATGTGATGCACAGACATACATGCAGACAAAACACCCATAAACAAAAATAAGTATATCTCAAAAAATATTTTCACAAAAATGATGCTGTGGTTTCAACTCAAGTCCTTGTGTTTTTAATGAGCTATCTCCTCATGCTGGTCACAGTGGCTCGCATCAGTCATCCCAGTACTTGGCAAGCTAAGACAGGAGGTTCAGAAGTTCAAGGTCATCCTTGGCCCACCACAGTGAGCTTGAGGCTAGTGTGGGGAGTACAAGTGAACCTTGCTTCAAAAACAAAGTAAATAACAACCACAAAACCAAAAATAATAGCAAAACAAAAACAGTAAAACTGATTGCACCAGCTTTGAGACAGGGGTCTTAAGTAGACCAAGCTGGCCTTGAACACACAAGAGATCTGCTTGCCTCTTGGGTACTGGGATTAAAGGCATGAGCTACCATGCCAGGATAAATTTCATCAATCTCTGTCTCTCTCTTTCCCTCTCCCCTGCCTCTTTTGGCTTTTTGAGGCAGGGTTCCCTGTGTAGCCCTGGCTGTCCTGGAACTCAAAGATCAGCCTGCCTCTACTTCCCGAGTGCTGGGATTAGAGCACCACTCCTAGCCTTCAATTTCTTTTCCCTGAAATGTGACCAGTAGAAAACTTCTATATACCTATAAAAAAGCTTATTTCTATCCAACTGATCTAGTGGAGGAATGTTCACTGTAACTAAGACTCTGAAAAATGATGGGGAAGGAAATGCTGAGAACAGCCACCTTGGCTAAGGTTCCTAGAGAGGCAGCTGTCACACTCCTGAGCTTGAGGCACAATTTCCCAGGGCCTTAGGGTGCCCTGCTGCTTATCAAAGCTAAGAGAGAAACCCACACCCCAGAAATAAGTATTTCACCTCCCCCACCAGCTTCTCTCAGCTGAAACATCAGGTTTCCTCAACGATGCCTGGTGTCCTGCAGCTGTCCAGCTCAGTTTCCCAGCCTGGGCTGCATGCAATTCCTTGCAATCAGGTTTATCTCTACAGGTTCACTGCCCAGGGATAGCAACCTGAAATTGCACAATTCCAGTAGGTGATGGCTGTGGCAGTCCCACAGGATTGCACACAGTTGCAGTGTTTGGTAATGTGTTGACTCAGCTCAGTCCCAGGGAGGGCTGTAACTGCCCTGGGGGCAGTGAGCTGCACAGCATCCTCAGAGAGCCACTTTTCTGCCTCCCATTCTCCATCTGAGTAGCAAGGTGGCAAGGCCTGATGTGAGGCCTTCTGAAGGTTAAACTCAGTGATTCGGGGCTGGAAGTGAGTGCAGTGGTAGAGAACTAACAATAGCAGTGATGTGTGGGCCCCCCTGAATAGTGTGGCTCCACCTTGAACCCTGGTCCCAGATCTATAAAGAAGGGATGCCCAGGACTAATAAGGACTCTGAGAGGGCCTGTTACAAGGGTGTATCCATTTTCTGGGTCTACCACAACTGACTCCCATACACCAGGTGGCTGATGATCATTAGATAGTGTAAGCCATCCTCTCTCCCAGTTCTAGAGGCCAAAAGTGCATGTCCAGAACCACACTCACAAAGCATGGTCTCCCGAGTCCTCCACTTAAATGTTTCTCTCTACTGACTTTGTCTTTGGCTACATACTGAAACACAGCTCTGACTGCACCTGGATGAGAGCTCTTAGGAGCATCCTTCTGACCTCTCTCTGCTTCAGGGGGCTCCAGGTGGCCCATGGCCCACAACATCATCATCATCATTGCAGGCTATGCCTTCATTATCTTCACAGCCTTCGAAGCTTCGTGGACCCCACATTTAGCTATTAAAGGTAAAATGTTCTTTCCTACCTGTGGTGCTCCATCCCCTCAACAGGCTCATGTACCCTCAGCTGGTGGCGTGGAGATTTTACTACACAGTGAGACTGCACCCCAAAACAAAACACACAACACCCTGCATGATCATCCCAATACCTACCGTCAAGTCCAAGGACTTCCAAGAGCTCCATCCAAACTTTCCATATAGTCTCCATGAACATGTCCACTCCCTGCACGAAGCGCTCAGTCAGCCTGGACAGTAACTGCAGGGAAGAGAGGACAGCTAAGAAATCAAGCGACAGCCGGGGTGCACACACCTTTAATCCCAGCACTGGGGAGGCAGAGGCAGGCAGATCTCTGTGAGTCGAGACCATCCTGGTCTACAAGAGCTAGTTCCAGGACAGCCTCCAAAGCCACAGAGAAACCCTGTCTCAACCCCTGCCCCCCCCAAAAAAAGAAAGAAATGGAGCGACAGTCTTTCCCAATCCAATCAAGCATTGAAGCCCTAGAAGAGGACCATCTCAACAGAAAAACCAGGAGCTGCCTCACATGCGGTCTACACTCAAGCAATGAACAAGAGTCAATAGCTGGCCCACCGCCATGTAGAATATTGGAAAGCCCCCTTCCTCTACACACAGGACTAACAATTAGGTGAGAGTGGGTGAGTGGCTCTAGGTCATCATATCTGACTCCTCTGCCTGGGAGTTTCTGCCCTCAAAATGCTTCCCAGGGCAGCTGACTCTTCAAGGGACCGACCAACTCTGAAATCTGAGACCACGCAGCAAGGGTTCATGCTCTGTCTGAGGCCTTGAGAATTTCTAGGAGATTCAGAAAACCCAGATAACCAGGAAATCGTGCTACTTATTGCTACTTCCTTATTTTCTTTTGAATAAGTGATCATGCTAGCTAGCTTCCTGTCAATTTGGGACATGCTAGTGTCATCAGGGAGGAGGGAGTCTCAGTGAAGAAAATGCAGCCTTGTAGGCAAGGCTGTACGGCATTTTCTTAATTGGTGATTGATGGAGGAGGATCCAGCCAGCCCAATGTGGATGGGGCTATCCCTGGGCTGATGGTCCTGGGTTCTTTAAGAAAGCAGGCTGAGCAAGTCATGGGGAGGAGTAAACCAGTAAACAGCACCCCTCCATGTCTTCTGCATCAGCTCCTGCCTCCAGGTTCCTGCCCTGCTTGAGTTCCTATCTTGACTTCCTTCAATGATGACCACTGGATGTTTAAGCCAAATAAACACTTTTCTCCCAAGTTGCTTTGGTGGTGGTGTCTCATCACAACAATATTAACCCTAACTGGGACAGTGATATTATATACACCAAGCATAAAACTTGAAACCAGGACTGGTGATTAAGTGGATAATGATGTCCCGAGTTCATTCTCCAGCACCACATAAACAGGACAGCTTAAAACTGCCTGTAACTCAAATTCCATGGAGATCTGATATCTTCCTCTGTTCTCTGTGCTTGTTCATTCTCCAGCACCACATAAACAGGACAGCTTAAAACTGCCTGTAACTCCAATTCCATGGAGATCTGATATCTTCCTCTGTTCTCTGTGCTTGTACACACACACACACACACACACACACACACACAAACACTTTTTAATACAATTAATCTTAGAAAAGAAAAACATGAAAAGCAAGCATAGTGGTGCACACCTTTAATCTCAGTATTCAGGCAGGCGGACCTCTGTGAGTTCGAAGCCAGCCTGGTCTACATATACATAGTGAGTTCCATGACAGAGCTAGCATAGGGAGACCCTGCTTCCAAAAACAAAACAAAAAACACCAACCAAGTAACAACAACAAACAAAACAAAAAACAAACAAAAAGGAAAAGTACACAAGAAAGGAAGGAGGAAGGGGGAGGGAGGCAGGCAGGCAGCAGTATGCTTCTGATGGCACCAGCTATCTGGGAAGTGGTGTGCAGCAGTTCTTTCAGGACAAGCTACATTCTGACTCATGCTGTATCTTCCAGGCCTTGTTTTTCACAGCTGGAAAATGGGACCAGGAGAGGATTCAACATAGGAAGCTGAAGAAGCCCAGGGGCTACTGCAGTTAGACCAGTGATGGGGTGGCAAGGAGGGGCTCCTGGGAGGACAAATCCAGATCAGAGGGTCTTTCTGGGGCTGTGAAATGGCCAGGAGGAAGAGGACACACCAGGGCAGTCCCATCTGTGCCCTTTCAGCCACTCAGCTAGAGAACATGCTGGTCCCTCCAGCAAAGATAGACATGAAAGGAGACCCACAGACTTTATGGAAATGCTAGTGTTCAGCTGCATTCTCCTAAATCTGTGAAACTCTTAGTCCCCAGTGAGGAACATCTGAAGACAGGGTCTTTGAAGAGGTGATTTGGCTACAATGAGACTACTAAGGCAGGCCAAGTCTAATAGGGCAGAGGTTATTATAAGACAGTGTGTGAGTGGGACAGGCTTGTCATCCCAGCTACTCAAGAGGCTGAGGCAGATGTGTGTGTGTGCAGGGGGAGTGGGCAGGGATTGTTTATGCAAACATAAGGTAGGGCAGAGTAATGATCCGAATGAGGCAAGAAGGAAATCTGGTTCAACACATCTCAGTAGTCAGTGTTGATTCAAACTTCTAGAGCCTGACACCAGACAGTTTATTTTAGGTACACTTAAGCACAGTACAATTTGGAAAAATGTTTCCTGGTATAACACAATCCCATGTACACAGGAGGCATAATTGCATCAAAACTCTCCTCAAAGTACATGTATGTCACTTCTTCCATGAAAATTAGATGTACTCTTGAGATAGTTACATGTGCCAGGTGGTGATGGCGGCACACGCCTTAGGCAGGCAGATCTCTGTGAGTTCGAGACCAGCCTGATCTACAAGAGGTAGTTCCAGGACAGCCTCCAAAGCCACAGAGAAACCTTGTCTCAAAAAACCAAAAACCCAAAAAAAAGGAAAAAAGAAAGAAAAGAAAAGAAAAGAAAAGAAAAGAAAAGAAAAGAAAATAGATAGGCTACACGTGTCATCTTAGGGCCAAGGGGAGGCCCTGGTGTGGACTCCATCATACAGAGAGCACAGAGTCATCTGGGCTATCAACCACTTTCCAGTCCTCTTTGTGAGAGCCTGGGGGAACCCCTGGTCATATAGATAGCGCAGAGGTCATCTAAACTATTAGCCACCTCTGGTGGCTAATAGGTCCTGGTTGTAGAAACTTGGGGGGAGCCAGATATGGCCTGGCTCTACAGATAGTGAAGGGGTTACCTGGGCTATTAGGCACCTCCATTCTCAGCCCTTTGAAGGGAAAACAGGTTATACATCTTTTCCCCTGAAAAGACAGCCCTATGTGTTTAACATTCCTGTGCTATCTGGGAGCACAAGGACCTCTGCGCACCCAAACAGGCAGGGAGATTACAAGTTCAAGGCTTGCCTTGGGCTAAAGAATGAGTCCAAGGCTGGTCAGGACATCTCAGTGAGACCCACTCCCCATCTCAAAATAAAAAGTTAAGGTGTAGCTCAGTGGTAGTGTATTTGCCTAGCCAAAAAGAAAAAAAAAAAAAAAAAAAAAAAAAAAAAAAAAAAAAAAAAAAAAGAGCTAACATCAGAGACACACAGAGGACAGCCATCAAAACAGAGGGCAAAGAAGGCCTGCAGGCCTATTCTGGGATGCAGGGAAAGCCAACCTACCACAACCTTGACCTCAGATTCCCTGCCCCAAAGCAGTGAGGTACTGGGTTCTTGGTGAGTGACAACACAGTCCAGAGCCAGTAGACACCAGGTGAGAGAGCTGTCTTACATTAGGACTCCAAATCTGTTAGTTCAAGGAACTCCTAGGAGGGAGGGGAGGGGAGGGGAGGGGAGAGGAGGGGAAGGGAGGGGAGGGATACCAATATGGCATTGTACCTATGTGCCTGGCCAACACAGGTAGAGCAGATTTCCAGGAAATGAGGTGTTGCCACCAAACAAAACAGGTGGAAAGAAAAAAATGATATAAATAAATAAATGATAAAAATAAAGGCTGCTTGTTATTATGGGATGAAGCGTGCACAAGGAGGGCAGAAGACAACCATGTGGAGTGGGTTCTCCCCTTCCACCTTCTTGTGGGTTCTGGGTATTGAACTCAGGTCGCCAGGCAGGAAAAGCAAGCACCTTTACTCATGGAGGACAACTTTCCCCTCTCAAGGACAACTTTCAAAAACTGATCTTCCTGCCTCTACACATTCAGGGCTGGGGTTACCCACCATGCCCAGTTTCACTTTATTTTATTTTTTTAAGATGAGGTCTCATAGATCCCATTTTTCTGGTGTTTTGGAGATAGGATCTTGAGACACACATACACACACACACACACACCAAAAGAAATGTGATTAGCACCTGTATATCATAAAATGTTACTAGAATGAATATAAGTTTCCTGGATGGGACATGTGTGGATTGTGCAGAAGGTACCATAATATCTATCGCTATCTTACTTCAAATGGTGAAAAAAAATGCAGACCATCTGTGTTTGTGAAGAGGCCTAACTTGCTATCAGTGCAGCCATGACAGGCTGCAGACTAACAATACTGGGACTAGGCCTCATCCTTATACTAACCAGGAAAAAAACTGACTGTACCCTGTGGGGGTTGGGGGAGGCCCCGCAATCAAAATTGAGACAAACAAATACTAGATGTTCCAGAACATTAAGAATAGCTTACCTAGTGGGCTGGAGAGATGACTCAGGGGTTAAGCGCACTAACTGCTCTCCCAGAGGTCCTGTGTTCAATTCCCAGCAACCACATGATGGCTCACAACCCCCATAATGACACCTGGTCCCTCTTCTGTCTTATAGGGATACATGCAGACAGAACAATGTGTACATAATAAAAAAATCTTAAAAAAAAAAAAAAGAATAGCTTACCTAACTTGTATATAGGTTGTCAATTTCCTTGCAGCAACACCAGTACCAATCCCTCTTTGACAAGACTTCTGTTGCCCCAATTCTGCCTAATCAGGAGTTCAACCACCATGTGAATCTGGACTTCCCCTACTCAAATCCTTTACTCCTTAAAAACCTGCCATAGTTGAGCTCAATGTTCTCCCTAATCCAACTGCTATGTTGGAGTGGACGGAGAGCTCAAGCTTACAATAAAGGCTCTTGGGGGTTCACAACACAGGCATAACATTGGTACACTTGTACAGAAAACAGAAAATATGCACAACGAGTGAAGGCAGCTGAGGGTCTTTGCTCTCTATTCTTTCAACTTTTCAATATTCTGAATTTTTAAAATATCACTACAATTTATTATGTATACAGTGTTCTGCCTCCATGTATGCCTGCAGGCCAGAAGAGGACACCAGATCTCATTACAACGTGGATGCTGGGAATTCAACTCAGGACCTCTGGAAGAGCAGCCAGTGCTTTTAACCTC